AAGGGTTGGGGTGGTCAGCTATGGCGGATGGGTGTAGGTGATGGAGGTGGAAGAAGGGTTGGGGTGGTTGGCTATGGTGGATGGGTGTAGGTGATAGAGGAAGAAGACGGGTTGAGGTGGTTGGCTATGGTGGATGGGTGTAGGCAATGGAGGTGAAAGAAGGGTTGAGGTGATCGGCTATGGTGGACGGGTGTAGGTGATGGAGGTGGAGGAAGGGTTGAGGTGGCCGGCTATGGTGGATCGGTGTAGGTGATGGAGGAAGAAGAAGGGTTGAGGTGGTCGGCGATGGTGGATGGGTGTAGGTGATGGAGGTGGAAGAAGGGTTGAGGTGGCCGGCTATGGTGGATGGGTGTAGAATGATGGAAGTGGAAGAAGGGTTGGGGTGGTCGGCTATGGTGGACGGGTGTAGGTGATGGAAGGAGAAGGTAAGGGAGGGGAAGTGTGTTTGCGTTGTCCCTTGGACACCCGGTCATGAAGAGTAGTCGCGGTGAACGAGTGGCGGGGATTACGAACCGCGGGAGACGTGTGCAAGCGACCTCGGCCCCGCCTTGCCCCCTTACCCGGGCATCCGGCTCATTGCCGGTCGTATCCCTTATGTTCCGGACCAAGACACAGTCCCACAGTACGCAGTCAGCTGTCAGCATGCAGAGAACACACAGTTGTTGTGGATGCAGTTAATCGAAATCTGCAGAATCTGCAGGTTCCGCTAGTTACGGTATTTTACCGTCTTTGTTGTTTCTTCGCCCAGGGTGAAAATTCGGGGTGTTCAGTCCTGTATTACCTGCCCCAAACGTTATCAGACTGACACCAAATTTGGTGGGCCCCATCACTGTATCATAGGGAAGGCCTCCACAAAATTTGGCACCGTTCAGACGTCGTTTAGGCCAAGTTGCCCGTTTCGGGCGTCCGCCGGTTTTCGGCGAACAGTTCAGAGGAAGTCTGATTTCTGATTTTTTCAGAAAACGGAGTCTGATGGCCTGCTGGGTCTGCAGGCCATCTGTTCATACCCAGAACATGAGGTCTGAGCAATCTCAGACCTCATCCCTGAGTTTTCAGTAGTGCTGCTGCCGACGTGCCGTCGGCCGCTTCTCGCTTGATTGAGGTTTTCGCGCGGCTCTTGCAAGGGTGGCTGTTACCCCACCTTTCCCCTGACTCAGAGGTTTATGATGGCCAGGCCCTGTCAGGGACTGAAGTCCTACAGCTACCAGTCAACAGAAGCCATAGTAGACCCTCCATCCGCCAAGGAGCAGCAGCCTATCGAAGCTTCTAATTAACGCGTTCGAATAGAACACGGGGCGGAGTGGGGGGGTCAGCGGAACAGCAAGGGGGCATACCGCCATACGCCCTGGTATCCAGATCAGCGAAAAGGACAGGCTTACAGCAGTCAACACACGGGGGGGGCAGCAACACAAGAACCAGATTACAACCAAGTGTGGGGCTGGGCAAAACACATGGTTGTGCAGTGAAAACACAGCAACAGTCAAGGGGGAACAGCGGCACATGCACCGGGTTACAACCAAGTGTGGGACTGGGCAAAACACAAGGTTGTGCAGTGGAAACACAGCAACAGTCAAGGGGGAACAGCAGCACATGCACCGGGTTACAACCAAGTGTGGGGCTGGGCAGAACACATGGTCGTGCAGCGGGAACACAGCAACAGTCAAGGGGGAACAGCAGCACATGCACCGGGTTACAACCAAGTGTGGGACTGGGCAAAACACACGGTAGTGCAGGGGAAACACAGCAAACANTGGGACTGGGCAAAACACACGGTAGTGCAGGGGAAACACAGCAAACAGTCAACGGGGAACAGCAGCACATGCACCGGGTTACAACCAAGTGTGGGGCTGGGCAAAACACACGGTAGTGCAGGGGAAACAAAGCAAACAGTCAAGGGGGAACAGCAGCACATGCACCGGGTTACAACCAAGTGTGGGACTGGGCGAAACACATGGTTGTGCAGTGAAAACATAGCAACAGTCAAGGGGGAACAGCAGCACATGCACCGGGTTACAACCAAGTGTGGGACTGGGCGAAACACATGGTTGTGCAGTGGAAACACAGCAACAGTCAAGGGGGAACAGCAGCACATGCACCGGGTTACAACCAAGTGTGGGACTGGGCAAAAACACACGGCAGTGCAGGGGAAACACAGCAAACAGTCAAGGGGGACCACCAGCACATGCACCGGGTTACAACCAAGTGTGGGACTGGGCAAAACACAGGAAGGGGAAGAGGGGGTGTCACACTCGGGCTCCAATCCTTATGGGGAGAATAATGCTGCACCTGGAGCGGGGGAGACTAACCACGCGAGCACTCTATACTACCGAAATACTAGATCATCAAGACTGGGGTAGCGGTTTCTCCCATTAGTGCAAGGCAAGTAGAGGGTGGGAGGAGGAGTGAAAAAGACAGCAAGACGAGCTCACACATGCACATGGGAGTGTAACGCAACACAATGGAAGGTAGAATGAAACAAAACAAGACTACTACACTACCCAATCAAGGAGAAACACAAGACATCAGGTAGCGATTCACATCCAAGTGGAGAATCAGATGAGAGTGAGTGAAAGGAGAGAGAAAACACGAAGATGAGCCCATACATGCACATGGGAATGCAACGCAACACATTGGAAGGTAGAATAGGACAAAACAAGCCCACTATTCTACTCGAACACAAGAAAACACCACGAGTCAAGTAGCGATTTGCAACCAAGTGGAAGACTAGACAAGAATTGACGAAAGGAGGGAGAACACACCAAGATGAGCTTACA